GTTGTTTATGCTCTAAAAAAAACCTGACGTGTTAAATTTACTGAACCAAGTCATGTCAGCTGGTTTCACTAAACCCAGTAGAGTAAATATGAGGCAAGACTGTTTTCTCCACTTGGTTTTAATGGAACCAGTTTGRTTAACCTCTACAACAGGTACCCTGAAATTCCTTAAAAGTCTTTTGACATTTTAAGGGTGTCAAACTAAAGTTAAGAAACGGAGGAAGTTGTCCGACACCCTAGTCCTCAAAGTAAAAGCTCCCATTAGCGTCTGAAAACGTTTAGATGCAGAAACCAAACCATTGTTGCCCACCGGTTGAACAAAGACTGTTAAGGGGTTCAGTAAATTCTAGTTTATTTCTTAAGAGTGTGTAAAAGTACTTTTACTTTTTTGATTTTTATGAACAGTTTTATGACTTTTACTTAAGTACTTTCCTCATAAGTGACATTTATTCTGTAGACTCTGGTAAACGCAGGCGTGACCCGGGGCTCCTCACCTGTTCTGAGAGCCGCCCAGCAGTGCAGGGGGTAAAGGCAGGGGCGGCAGAGTGGACGTCTTGTGGAGTGGTGTCTGGCGAACGGGGCTGCGTTGAGGAACCGAAGCTGGCGATTTTGCCTGGGAGACGGGATTCGCTGGAAGCTGAACTGCTGTTTCTGCCTGTGGAGGAGGCGGGGGCGCCTGGGCGGCTGGACCGGGCGGCGCTGGAGGGGAGGGCTCAGGGGGAGGTAGTGCAGGTGAGGAAGGTAGAGATGCTGCGACTTGATCCTCAGAACTGGGGGTGTTGGGCGGGGGCTGTGCGGTCGGCGGAGGCTGGGCTTCACCTTTGGCCGACGAGTCTTTTTCTAGCTGAGGGGGCTCGGCTTTAGCGGGCCGCGACGACGCAGAGCTCGAAGCTTTGTTTGCCGACGGCAGAGGCGACGCCGTGCCGCTGGCGCGGGCGGCYGCCTCTGCGGCCAGGCGCTCCTTTTTTTTGCGGGTGAGCTCCGCGCCCAAGCTGGAGTTGAGGGGCAGGCGGGAGGAGGGAGGGGAGCGGCTTGCTGCCCGACTGCTGTGGGTGCTGCCCCCTGCTCCCCCAGAGGAAGCGTGCCTCTTGGTTCGGGAACGAGAGGGGGAGCGACGAGAGGAGTACTGCAGCGGAGAGCGGCTTCTGGAACGGCCCGAGCGCCTRGTGARACAACGTAGACAAAATGAGCAAAAACAAGCTGAGTCATGGTCACACAACAAACCATTCCTCAGGGTTCCTACAGCTTCATGCAAGCTCAATTTAAGACTTAACTTCACACTAAACAAACCAAAAAAAAACAGTGACAATTTAACCCAAATGTTTTTTTAAACACAAAACAACGAGCTGCGAGAGGCATTCTGTGAATTATTTAAAATAAACAAATGTTGCCAATTATTTGAATATTTAAGACCAATTATWATCATCCTACTTTGAATGTTTTAACATTTTTAAGACCTTTGAAAGATTGATTTAAGACATTTTAAGGCTAATTAAGGCCTTATTTTGGATTGATGAATAAACAAAGACTTTTTAAGGATCCGTGGGTAACACTGTTACTATTTAAAAATTAACAAAACAGTATTTGGTCACATTATTATGATTAGGGATGTCCCGATCCAGATTTTTTGGCTTCCGATACAATCCGATTTTTTTAAAGGGATCCACGATTATTTGTAACATTAGACTTTATTTAATAAACATATATTTTAACTGTAAAATAAAGACTTTAAAAATGCTGTCGGGTGT